TTATTATTGACACAAACAAAGCATTTGTTAGATAATTGATGTTTGAATACGAAGTCAAAGACACTATCGGTTAGTCATTAGAGTATATGTATTGCTATTACGACACGAAATATATATAAAATAAAAATCTATTAATAAATTGTTGCAAACATTTGTTAAAACAAACAATAAAATTGAAATTTAAATCATATTTGCATTCATTTAACGCACATTTCAAGCCTTATGTAAATTGAATGGCATTTAAACATGTGTTTCAAATGGTAGACAACAATCATATCATATGAGACAACAGGCGATCATATGATTGCCATTTGTCTATCATTTGTGTCTATGATTTGCATCTAATATCACATCAAATGGTTATGTAATCAACAAAAACAATAAGACTTACCATTGATTCACAGATCGGATACCAAATCACACTTGAATTTGAAACACATTTTGTTTGACGACATAATTGAGTAGTCATTGAATCATTGATTGATATAATTATATAAATAATCAAAAATATATTAATTATAATAATAATTGAGTAAAAATTTCAAACAAATCTCGGTATTAATGAAAACACATATAAATGTCTATTTGTTTTGTGCGAGACTTTAAAAAAAAATATAACACACAATGAATTACACGTTAAACACAATGTTATTGTATTGTATACTCAAATAATATGTGTTTCACAACAAAACAGCACTCAATTCAGTGACAATTCATTGCATATAACGTAATGAGTGTTACATTTAATTGTGTTTATTATAAGCGCTATTAAAATAACAGTATTTTATATGCGATCCGTATTTAAGGTATTGTTTACTTCACTCATACCATACATAAGGCATACCAGAGAACAGGCTTTGCGTACATTTACTATCGCTATATAACAGGCTTTTCCAACGCTATTGCGTTTGGATTACAATTTTTTTGATGATTACGTCAATCGTAAGACACAATAAGGCGAGCGATTGCGAGAGAGGGAGAGAGTGTGTGAGTGAGTGAGAGAGACATCTCTCGGTCTCATATAAATTGGTTACAAGTTTTGAATCAATTAGTTTCACAACTCTTTCGACATCTCTTTCGAAACTTTTTTGTTTTTTACATAACTTTTTATTTTTGTTCATTTAATAAATTTTTTTATATACAAAATGTTTTCTTCAAATTATATATTCATAAATAGTTTTCTTGTTTTTCGTCGCAAACGTTAAAATTATAAGTTATATGTATTAACACACATATCAAACAGAATATCAGATAACAACAAAATTAATGTCAATTAATTGTCGTTTACATGTATTTTATTTCAAACACAACTAAAATCATTAGAAAGACTACGATATTTATTAATGGAGTTTTGTTTTCTCATCACATTATCTCTCCTTAAAAAATGACAACAATTTATACATTAGTTTCGGCTCTAAAACGATGTATTTGTGGTCTCGAAGTCGGAGGGATTGCGAGCTTTGATACTAATGGTTGGGTCGCGGGAGGTGTCGGCGATCCGCGACCCCTACCAGGCCTTCCAACACTCGTTTGGCCCTAAGTTTGAACAAAAAAAGTAGAAATGTTAATCATTTCTAAATTAAATGAACGCATTTTACTTCTTGAGCCGAAGGCACCGGTGATTGTTTGCCTGACTTTCTGGTGGGCGAGAGGTTTCTGGTGGGAGAAGTGGGTCTCTTCTCCATCTTATTCGCAGCCGTTTTATCGTCTGTTTGTAGAGAAGAGGAACTTCTGCTAAATGTTTTGGAAAGTGTTTTTGAAATCTTGTATTTGAGTGAATGCTCTTTCTTCTGGCGCTGTTTCGCCAACTCTATAGGACTCGTCTCAAAGCCGTGAACGGCTAGTGATGTGAGACCAGCGCTGGCTATACCGCCACCGGTTGTCGACTCTTCGATACTATTTGTCTTTTTGATGAATTTAAAGAGCGATCTCTTCTGATGCGGAACCGCAGGCAATGATGTGTCGGAATCGGCGCCGAAAGAGCCCTCTCGGGTGTATCTGGAATGGGATGCGTCCGACTCGTAGCCGCTGTACGTAGACGTGAACCCCCGATAGGGACCGACCCTTAAATTACTATAACTGGATGTGGGGGTAGTGTTGGCCGAATCGCCCGATTCCCAGATGCGCTCCTGAGAGGCGCCCCGATTGCCAGACGCGCCGATCTGATAGTCCAGAGACACACTCTTCTTGGCCAAGGCTTTGGGTCGCGGCGGAGCTCTTATGACGGCGTTTGGCGGCGGAAGTGGCGCGCGAGTCAGCGATTGTGACGAACCTCTCTGTGAGTACATGTCTTGTGCGGAAGAAGTTCTGCTAAATGACACCGAATGTCGCAATCGGTCGACATCTGTGGTCGGAAGTGAAATGCTCTTAATGTCATCGCTCTTCGTCTTCAGAGTCGAAACTAATCGTTTCAATTCTTCGACATTTAATACACTTGTCGTCGATTTACGTTTCCTGACACCGATGTCGGCATCGGATCCCTTCTCTTGTTCTGCGGCAACCATTTTATGCATTTCCTCGACTTCGTTGATAATGTCCTTCGCTTTGATCTGTATATCAAATGCGGTGAATACAGTGCGTCTCCACTCGTCTCTCTCCTTCTCATACGCCGACCGCTCTCTCCTCAGCCGTTCATTCTGTGACCTGACCTTAGAGTGAGCTTCTCTCAGGTCAAGCAAATCGAGCTGTAATTCGCCGACCTTTCGGTGCGAGTCTTCAGTGTCTCTATCCATTCCGGACTTTAATTCTTGCAATTGTTTTCTCTGCTCTAATCGATCTTTTTCTCTAACCTTTTCCGTATTCAACAACTTATCCCTTAATTCCTGAATGAATTTCTGTGTCTCCTGAAGCAGTCGATGGTTATCCTGTCTCTCCTTATCCCAGGCCAACTCCATCTTCGTTTTGGCGTAGTTTCTCGTCGACCCTCTCGTCTCCAATAGTATCCGTTCCTCCAATTGATTGATTTGTGTCTTGAGTTCTGCGGCCTGTATTTGCCAACCGCTGCGTTCGGTTCCGAATTGAATCTTCAGATTTCGGTTCTCGAGTAGAGCCGCCTCGAAGTCGGACCTCAATGTCATCAATTGCGCGGACATGTCTTCTATATCGTCCTTTATTTTTGACGAACGTCTTAGACTCGGATCCCTTTCTAATTGGTCTCGTAGTCTATCCCTATCATTGACAAGAATGGCTATCTGTCGCTGCAATTCATTCACCTCTTCGCCCATTAATCGCATCCTTCCCTCATATTCTGCGTGAAGAGCGGCGACCTCTCCCTTATGTGATGTCTGCGTGTGTTCTAAACGAATCTTATATTCCTGTAGTTCTTTGTCTTTTCCGGTGATATTAGTAGTTCTGGTCATTCTCTCCACTTTCTCCATATCTGTGATCTTTAGCTGCAAGTCTTCGCATCGTTTCCTCAGTTTATCTCTTTCTTCTTTGATATATTTCTCTTCCTTTCGATACGACTCTAAAAGGCTTTCCTTTTCTGTAATCAAGTCTTTGAGTCGATTCTTCTCTTCGACCACAAACGAGGCCCGACTGGCGTTGGTCTCGAGTTTGGCCGTCTTCTCCTGGAGGTCCAACTTTTCGCGGACCCATTCCTTCTGACGATTGGAAAGCATGTCTTTTACTGCCTTCACTTCGAGGAGTCTCTCGTCATAACTCTTGCGAATACTTCCGACCGCTTCCACTAAAGTGTCCTTTTCTGCCACTAAACGTGATTTCATTTCCAAAAACTCTTTCTCCAATAAATCGTATACATTCACCTCTTCGCCCATTAATCGCATCCTTCCCTCATATTCTGCGTGAAGAGCGGCGACCTCTCCCTTATGTGATGTCTGCGTGTGTTCTAAACGAATCTTATATTCCTGTAGTTCTTTGTCTTTGCCGGTGATATTCGTAGTTCTGGTCATTCTCTCCACTTTCTCCATATCTGTGATCTTCAGCTGCAAGTCTTCGCATCGTTTCCTCAGTTTATCTCTTTCTTCTTTGATATATTTCTCTTCCTTTCGATACGACTCTAAAAGGCTTTCCTTTTCTGTAATCAAGTCTTTGAGTCGATTTTTCTCTTCGACCACAAACGAGGCCCGACTGGCGTTGGTCTCGAGTTTGGCCGTCTTCTCCTGGAGGTCCAGCTTTTCGCGGACCCATTCCTTCTGACGATTGGAAAGCATGTCTTTTAAACGGAAGTGAAGCTCCTCAGAGAGCAGTATTGAGAACGCTTATGAAGGCTGGCGAAGGTGATTTCACAGGAAAAGACGGTGATTTGCACTAAAGTAAAGGTTTTTGAGAAAGAGGTTATTTAGCATATTATTTGTCAACTCTTCGTATTCTTGTTTCTCTTTAGTTAACTCTTTGTCCAATGAATTGATTTTATTTCCCGACTCGTACTCAATGTCTTCGAGTCTCTGTTGAGTCCTTCGCTGTTCTCTTTCCATCTGAACGATACGTTCGCGCGTTTGAAACAACTCCTGATCTTTAGACTTGATTTGTATTTCGTGCTCTTTTTCCAGTTTCTCTCTCCTCTTCAGGTCTGCCCTCATCTGTGACTCCAAATCCGTTATCTTATTCAACAACTCTTCCCTCTCTTTGCGCGACTGAACGTTGAAATTCTTCAACTTTTCATTTGATTCTTTCAAATCTTTATCAGTTTTGTCCAGTTTTTCAATCAATTCATTCATTTTTGTCTTATAATTAGTCGATTCTTCTCTCATTTGTTGCAATTCTAAGTGCACTTCCTTTCGGATATTTCATTTGATTCTTTCAAATCTTTATCAGTTTTGTCCAGTTTTTCAATCAATTCATTCATTTTTGTCTTATAATTAGTCGATTCTTCTCTCATTTGTTGCAATTCTAAGTGCACTTCCTTTCGGATCGCTTTCGACGTCGTCTCCACTTTCTTAGCGTTTTCTTCTCTCAATTTAGTTTCCTTTTCTCGATATTCTTTATCCAGACCTTCAAATTGTTTCTTATAATTATTCGCTTTAACTGTCATTTCATTCAATTGTTTTTTCAAATCGTTGATCTCTTTTTGCAAAACAGCTGCCAAACCACTCGTTTGACTCTCATTTGTCGTCTTTTTACTCTTTTCCTGATCGAGCTGTCAGTAAATGATAGCATAAGTGAATAAAAAGCAGTTAACAGAAAGTAATTAAAATTTTTACCTCAGTTTTTGTTTGTTGTGAAATCTTTTTCAATTCAGTCAACTCTTTTGAAACACTTTCGTATTTATTTGTAATATCTTTCAAATTATTGTCACTTTTTCTAAGTTTTTCATTGCAAATATCGGTCTCGTCTTCGAGCCTCTCGACCTGTTTTTGCGTTAATTGACTGCTTTTCATGAGCTCTTCTTTTATAGTGATGGTTGCCATCAACTTCTGGTTCATGTCATCTGCTCTTGACTTTTCACGGATCAGCTCTGCGTGGATGTCATCCAATCTAATGGCCAACTCTTTCTTCTCCGCCTGAAGTACTTCCAAGTTATCCAAAGCACTCAAATCAATGCCTCTCTCTTTTGTAAACGAATCCACTTTCGTCTGCAATGTCTTCAATTTAGTCCTCTCGCTGTCGAGTTCTTTCCGCAGCCTTTCGTTTACGTGAGACAAATGGTTTGGATTACTGTTTACTGAAACGCCGTTTGTCTTCAATTCGTCTCTCATTTGTTCAAATTCTCTCTTAGTTTCACTCAAATCTTCGTTTATATTCTCGAGTATCATATCTTTGGCTCGAATTGTATTGTGTAAGTCATTCACGTCTTCCTCCAACTCTTTGATGATATCCTTTAACTCCATTCGAGTCGCCGTTTCTCTCACCACACGAGTGGGTCTTCTCTTCGCGGACACCGTTTCCTTCAAACGCTTGTACTCTCTGTTAAGTCGATTGCATTCGACATCCGTTTGGGTCAGCCGTGCGTTAAGGTTCGTAATGTCCGACTCTTTGGTCTTAAGCTGTTTTTTCAACGTATTTATCAAATCATTTTCCGTATCACTCATTAAAAAGCTGTTTAAATTTGGTTGAGATTTACTGGCCATCAAATCCGACTTAATATTCTCGCATTTTCGCTCTAATTCTTTGATTTTGTTCTTGAGTTCGATGTTTTCGACCTGAAGCTGATCCGCGGGACCGGGCGGTGGCTTTCGGCTGAGTCTCAATTGGAATCTCTTGTTCTCATTAATCAATTTGTCGTTTTCTGATTCAATGGAAATGAGTTTTTGTCTCAAAATGCTCGCCTCTTGTTCCACGAGCTGTAACTGACGCTTCAGATCCACCTGTTGTTCGCCGTCAAGGCTTCGGCTTCTGATGATCACTTTGGATGCCTTCCGTCGATGGACTTCGATCTCCGTTCGTAAGCTCTCGTATTCCTTCTCCCTATCGACCAGTTTTTTGCGCAAATCTCGCGCTTCGGACTCAAGAATCCGTATTTTATGCTCATATATGACGTTAGGCGGCGAACCGACCGGTATTTCGGGCATTTCAACTTTGGTCAATGGCTGCGATATGAGTTTGTCCTGCAAATACTTGATCTCCTGCTGTGAGTTGTCGTTCTCCTGTTCCAACTCATCGGCCTTTCGTCTCAAGACAACCATTTCCTGTTCGTAGAGTTCGAGATTCAGTTTCATCTCTTCGGGACTCAACTCTTCCGACTCGTCGTTATCGATGTCTCCTTTGGCCGACTTTTGATTCGCCATTTTCCTGATCTGCATCATCAGTATCTCGTTCTCCGACTCCATTGTCGACAACTTCTTGCGCATCGTTCGCGTCTCCTCCTCAGCGAACTTCATCTGTTCCTGAAGATCCTTTTCCCTCTCCATCGTGTCGTACAGATCGCGGATCACTTGCTCGTAGTCTTTGCCGTCGAACGAAACGGTCGGCGAAATACCGCCCGAAGACAACCGATTCATCGCCTTTTGCGAGGGATTCTTCTCCGCCAACTGTTGCTCCAGAAGTAGTCGACCCTCTCTTAGTGTCTCGATCTCTGCGTGCAATTTAAGCGACACTTCTTTGGCGATCGACAGTTCCGTTTCCAGTTCTTTCATCTTATGTTTGTCGACATCTATTTTCGTGGTCTCCAAGAGATCCTTCATCTTCTTCTCGAGCTCTATCTTATCGTTTTCCATCAATTCTACACTCCTTTCAGCCTTTTTGAGCTTAAACTGCAAAACCCGGCAATTCTTCGACGACGACTCCAACTCACGCTTCAATACACGAAACTCTGAGGACTGGTCTTCGCGAAAGTTGTCGTGAAGTTCTTGGAACTCAACCTCCAGTGCTTTCACATCTTTTTTCATCTCTTCGTTCTCTTCGGTGAGTCGTTCGCAAAGGAGTTCCGTTTGTTGTAATTTAAGCCTCAAATTAGTGATCACTTCTTTGAGTTCTTTTGGATTCTCGCGTTTCATGGCTTCCACTTCTCGCGTCAGTTCTTTCACTTCAATTTTGAGGACATTGTTCTCGTCTTTAAGCTCTGTTTTAATGGTTTCCAATTCACGACACTTTCCCTGAAGTTTAATCAATTCGGAGGCCGTCTTCTCGAGCGCCTGTTTATCGCTTTCATTGATTTGTTTGGCTTTGTTTTCCTGCAATTTCTCCATCCGTTTAATCTTCGCCTGCAATTCGTTGTTCTGTTTCTCTAACGCTTTCAACGATTCCTCCGATTTGGCTAATTGTTGAACGAGAGACGCAATCTTTGTCTGATATTCCTCGACGTCTGCGGAACCACATAACGTGGTTTCGGTCGTATCGGTGTCCGCAATGCTCTCTTCGTCGCACTCCCTCTCTCTCGTCGCAGTTTTGACGCGAAGAATAAACTGGACGTCCGCCGACTCCGTTTGATTCTCGCCATCCAATGGCAGACTCTCTTCGGCGCCCAAAATCTTTCGTATCCTTTTGGGCGCCGAAGACTTAGTCGGCGACGACTTATCGTTAAGCTCTGCGCCGTCGGGCTCTAGACGTAAGTCCGATATCTGACCCCTAACTCGAGTTCTGCCCAAATTGTTTGTCGCCGACGCGGAGGCGGATGGTGTCGGCGACGACTCGACGGTGTTTCGGACGCGCGTTCGTCGCCCGGAAGTGGTCTGTGTCTCGTCAACAGGCGATTGGCTGTCATCGAGTTTAGGCAGTTCTCTGGTTCTGGTTCTGAGCCTAACTGTTGTCGTGTTATCACTTGTCGGCGAATTATCGTCCGCTGTATAGGAAACTGATGGCACGGATAGAGTGCTCGACTTTTCCGGTGATTTTTTCCCTACAGATTTGAATATAAAATTTTTATTTAATAATAAATATTTAATTCCTGTAATCCTTTAGTCATTTCTCTCGTTATTTGTAACTCTTTGTAAAACTAAGAAAATACTTCAAAACATACTTAATCTTAAAAATCGATTAGTTTTTTATAGAAACGTCTCGTTATATAAATAGAAACGATTAGTAAATATGAGGAAATTTAAGCGTATTTTCGAAACTCATTTAAAGCTATATTTAATATTTATTACTTTTAAAGTTATTAAAAATATTATATAAATATTGAGTCAAATTAAATAAAAATGATTTATGCAATGATTAATATCTTAAAGAAAATATTTAATTTACATAACATGTAATATTATATTTGAAAACTCCTTACAATTATAACTCGTTTACGTTTAATGAAAGATCAAATTCTTTGTAATTTTGCCAATAAATTGTTTCAATTGTCTGAAAGCGTGTGTCTTCTTGTGTGGATGTGCTATGACTTTGCCCTCAATGAACAGGAATTTAATTTTGGAAATTAAGCCCTAGTTTTATGAACTTATTCTCGCTTTTTATTCATATACTAATCATCAAAAATGCATAACTAATGTCTTTGAAATGTGTTGAAAATATTCAAAATTAATAATTTAGTCGTCAAAAACACCGACGTTTGCAATAAGACTTTAAAATGGCTCCGAAAACAATTTTGTTCATCATTTACTTGTGTTTTGATATGACTTTAAGCGAAACAAATGTCTGAAATTGTGTTTATTTGAGTTAAATATTTGTCTAAACATCCATTAAATTTCTCAATAAACAAAATGAATTGAGTTTTCATTATATTTATGTCTAGAATTAAAAGTTAAGATTTACTTCAAAAGTTAATATTTGATTGAATCCATTGATAAAACAAACACTTCAGAAATTGGATTAACAATTTAAACGTAATATTATATCCGATTTCACATTCCTTTACTAAATACCAATTGTTTAAAGTTATCCACTTTTGGATATATAAAACTAAATCTGTTTATTCTTAAAACTATATTAATTTTTATTTTAACGAAATATAAAACCAATTATTAAAAATATTTCAAAAAATATTTTCCAAAATAAATGTGGAATTAATGCTAAAATGCAAATATATATCTATTTTTAGTGGATTCTGATATACAAAACAATTGATGAGAAAACCTCTTACTTTGAGTACTAGTCTGTGGGTCGGAATCGGGAGAACCGGAAGCGGCCCTCTGTTTGGGATCAGTCGTGACCTCATCTTTGATGTTATGTTCGGTGATGTCTCGGAAACATCGACGACAACGATTGGGTTTAACGGTTCCCGGTTTAAAGCCAATACAATTGGCACTCATGTCAGTTCACACAAACAACACCATCCGATCACTTCACTGGACAATTAATGGAATGTAATAATCATATCATGTTTATAGACATTCAGTCAAGAAGTCATTCAAATTGAAATGACAGGCAAATGGATGGATGAGAGGAAACAAAAAATGTAAAACTAAACCAATGCCTCGATTCTGGTTCTCACTGTTAACACTAATTTGAATACAAGAATTCAAATACGACTTCACTATCAATGCATTTATGCGATACTCTTGTACTCTATAGACAAGACTGAACGCCAAGAGTGAGAAGTGGAGTGAAGGCTGCGTTACGTTCAATAGTTTGGGCCAAAAGTGGCTATTTTTAGGCCCAACACCCGCTCTCTCACTACACAAACGCTAACTTCATTTCTTCTTCTTTACTATTATATAAGATATTATATTAAATACTATTCAGACATAGTATTCAATGTTTGAGAAGTTTATTAATAAATAGTGTGAATTCATAAGTAAAGGAAATGAGAGAAAAGTAAAGCGAAAGTAAAAAGTTTTATTACAAACACTTTGCCATTGAATCCAATAGAGAGCGCAATCACAACGAGTTATGCAATCAAAACATAAACACATTTTTCAATGAAAATTGATTTGAAAGGTGTTTCGCAATTGAATTGAAGGATAATTATTACAAATTATTGTTATAACAAATGTTTTCAAATCACACGAGAAAATAGGCGTCAAAATTAGTGCCAATATATCACGTGTTTTGTTCACTCAATCATTAATATCTTGTATGAAAAAATTGCTACACTTTTCTCGGGTCACAAAAATCATCGATTCATAGGAAATGCTCATCAATTTTATTGTGAGTTATGTTTGCATTAAATGCTAATTAGTATTGAATTTACAACTGATTTGTTTGTATTTTGTGTTTTAGGGATACGACAGACAATTGGGAGTCATTTTATTGACGTTAAGCTCCTTATCATTGATTTATTACACGCTTTGGATAATTGTTATCCCAATGGTTAACGAGAGGCACATAATTAGG